GGTCGTCTTCCTCAACGATTTCCGTTGGTCACCACAGATAATCGCTTGGCATGATCTACTTCTCATGCTCGAAGGTCAGTTGGTCCATTTACCTGCGCCCAAGTGTCATTTCGCGCACGACATTGTGTTCGACCAAGACACACCAATTTTTAGCACAAGTAAGCACCAACTTGTCTACGTCAAATGCAGCATTGTAGACGAAAGAGAGACAGAGATGATGGCCATAAGATGGAAAATGTTCAATTTCAACCGACAAATCCCAGTGGAAGAACAAAGAGAAGTCGACCCGTGCACAGCATGCTTTGCTCGCCTTACCCTTGATGACTATGAGTTTTTAGTTTAATATATTCATGATACAGATTTGCTAGCATTGCATAGTACATAAACATTAAAGGCTAAAGCATGTCGACAAATACGCTCTACAAGATGCACTGTCTTGCTTTTCAAACCGAATTATATGAACAATCTAATTGGTAACGAGTAATCGGGGGAAGTCTAAATATAGCACAGCCACGCATGCATGTTAACCGTATACGTATTTACAAGTAACCGACTTTAGGCATTCAAATTTTTGATATAAAATGCACAGTTATTTTGCACAAAGTCAAACACGGCTTTCTAACGTTACACACACATGCTGAATTTGATATTTGTTCACAAATGATCTGCATCATAGTGCAAGTTACCACAAGTAACCACAAGTAACCATTGATGTAGATATTATTGACTTTATACCATTGTAGTTTTTAAACGGATGGTTACTTGTGGTTACTTGTTCAAACAATCTATCATTTTTAAGAGGGCAAATGGTTACTTGGTATAAATATCGGTGTTTGGCCTGTATATACTAATAGATCTATTGGAACTTTATATATGAGCATGATATATATATACACGCAATTTTTTATGACTGTTTTAATTAGGCTAGGCTAAGAACTATATGTAATACAACAGTAATGCATTGAGGAATTATAGCGGCCGGGACTTATATCTAATCAGTAGCTAATATTTTGTTCGTTTTCCCTTAAGTTTAAGAATATCTTTAATTCTCCTTGGCATACTTGCAATTGTCTTATCTACATATTCCTGTGAGACAGACCAAATGTTCAGCTTAACTCTTTCGACAAATTCATCCCACGACTGGTGTATAATGTTCTTCTGCAAGATTTCTGCTTCTATTCTTTTTCGAACAATATGTACGTTTCACATACCAAAGAAATGTTCTGTAAGTCACGCTTGTTGGTGAAATGCCGCTACGTTGAACTACCTCCATAACTGTGAAGTTTGGACTTCTTTCGCAGAGTTGCATAATTGCTCTCTTCAGTTTACGCTCATCTCGTTGCGTTAATGTTCTTTTTCGACCTTGGCGAGACTTTTTTAACTTATTATCGCTACCTTTTTTTTTCATATCAAAGCTTTTAATGACTCTAAGCACACTTGACTTTGACATGTTTGTTTTTAAAGCAATTTCACGATACGAATATTTGAATTCGCGCCTCAATAAGAGTGCTAAAGCTCGTTGCTCTGCGGTTAAGTCATGAATTCGTGTCATGTTTGTACGTTTAAATATTGTTACGCAATATAATTAAAAATGGAATTTATTCGACGTATAATTAGCTTAATTGCTTCTTAATACTTGCTAAAAATTTCATTAAGTTACAATGCTTGGTTTTAAAGTTACAGTCTTTTAAGTGCCCGCGGATAACGCAATAAAATACTCGGACAATCAGTGACATAAATATTGGACCGTTTTGCCTGAAAAGTCAACATTTTCCCCCTCCCCCCCTTTTTCAATGTTGTATGCCGTAATAAACCCTTCACGGGGCAAGCCATTGCCTTGGATTTGTTTGCCAACATTTTTTTCACCAGAAAAAACAACATTGAAACGGGGGAGGGGGGTTACAAGTTAATTTTCTAAGATCACGTAAAAATGTACTCTGTCTATACAACTGTCCCAAATTTTAATGTCACTGATTGTAAGTTAGTTGTATTGAGTTCTATGTGAGGCTTATTACCAAGTTAAAATTCAGTACCTTTCACCATGTTTAATACTGAGGAATCCTTTAAGGAAACCTTGCCTACAAACATGCCCAAAAACACCTTTTTCATCATAGAGCTTGTTCTTCCCTTTAGATCTGAGCATATCAGTTACCTCCCCAGACTTAAATTCATTGCAATTCTAAAATGATAAATTCGTCCAATTCAAATTACCCCATACCGTGCATGACTGACTATGCTGTACAGTACTTGAAATTCAGCAAGAATCTTCCAACAGCAAGTCAACTTGAAGATTTATCAGTTCAATTTCGTTTTTAAGCTAACCTAAATTTTCTATATAGTTAGTTATTACATGTACAGCATTCATAATGTATACAGCAAGTTCAAATAAGTTGATAGTAGATCAAGTAGACGAGGCTAGTGTGTGGCGATATGTGCTTATACGTGTCATTAGACGTGATAAAAACTCGAAGTCAAGTAGAATTAGTTTTCCCACAACTATTCCCACAAGGCTAATTAATGATTTAGTACCCATGCTAAAGTTATTTAAAAACTATCAATATTCCTGTAAAGTATTCCCACTTTGGGCGTGTGATAAAGGCCCCAAGTAGATTGGGGTCGTGATAAACAATATTTTAATTAGCATTAGTATTAGTATTGACAATTAGTGTGTTTAATGACTGTGACATTTTTAACTATATGCAAAAATTAACTAAAAAATATGATTATGTGTGGATAGATAGAGAAGGACGATTACATGTAAAAAATAAAAGATATATTTTCACAGGCTAGAAGCGAGAATTTAAGTACTTTTACATGGTAGCAGGAAATGGTTGTGACTAAGGAAGTTATAGTTGAAATTAAGAGAAGATGTCGACGATGAACGAGGGCGAGAAAGAGTTATATCAAGCAGTTCATGCCATGACATTCGCCGACGTTCGCAATGAACTAGAGCTAAATAGTTTGCCTATTACCGGCACGAGGACTTCTTGTATGCAAAGGCTGTTTAAGTACAAACGCCAACAACTGGCGATGGAATCTGTATCGAAAGCAAACTCGTCGAAGAAAATGATTACCCGGCAAGCGGCAAAAGCTCAAGCTGAATTAGCGACGGTGCAAAATATTGAAGGAGAAGCCTCTTCGACACAGGTCGCCGCACAAGAAACAGTAAATATACCAACCCAAACATTTGAAGCGAAGCTCGACGGAACAAAATTATCTACAGAAGAAATCGATCAACGTGTAGAACAAATATTAGACACACGACTAGCTAAACATTTAGCCGAATGTCAACAAGCGTTTTTGAAGGTTTTGACCGAGACTCAAAATAACGCAAGCAAGTCCCCTGTTGTTGAGAAAAGTCCGCAACTAGAGACATCTACACCGTATAATAAGACGAGTCATTGCAATGACGAACGAATTAGTCAGTTAGTACGAAAGCAAAAATTTGTCCGTACATCAATCAGAGTACTTATGCATGAAATGCAAAAGTTGATGACAGATGAGAAATCACAAGGTCGGCTGGGTAAAGCACTAGAACGTTTAGATTTTCAAGAAAAAGAATACAGCCGTATTATTCAAGAATTGATAACTATTCTCCCGAATGAAGATTTTGTGAATGACGAAGTTCGAAAGTGGGAGTTATTTCAACAAGAAATTTTGGAAATTACGATGTTAGCTGAGCAACAAATTTCCATACAAGCGGAAGAAGAAATGTCTAAGAAACAATTTTCCACTACTAGCAGCTTTAACCCTGTGTCAAGCCATTTACGCCTTCCAAAGTTTACGTTGAATGAGTTTACAGGAGATATCCTACAATGGGTTTCTTGGTGGGATCAGTATAAAATCTGTATTCACGAAAACGAGACACTGACTGATCGTGATCGCTTTAATTATCTTCGAATGTATGTCAAAGGGACAGCGAAAAGGGCGATCGAATATATCGAGATATCTGGAGAGAACTACCCTAAAGCTATCGAGGCACTTCAAAGAAGATATGGCAGAAAGCGACTAGTAGTTGAACATCTAATAGAATCCTTACTAAATATTGAGAAGAAAGACAAGGTCGAAGCATGGTCTCTAAGAAATTTGTATGACATCATGGTTAGTCGATACCGTACTTTGGAGGCGTATGAACCAAAGCTTGCGAAGCACAACGTATTCTGGTTCCAATTCTCCAGTCAAAGTTTCCAGACGAAATTCGTCGAAAGTGGGAGTTCCAACTTTCCAAGCTCGAAAACGAAGAAGATGATCGCCAAGTTACTGTGGAGTATCTCTTTGACTTTCTGAGATCTCATGTTATGTCAGAAGAAGCAACTGAAAAGTCAGTATTGAAACCAATAATGTCTTCCAGTAAAAATCAAAAAGGACCCCGAAAGGATGCGGTTTTCAAAAATTGGAGAAGACAGAGAAGAGAGGAAAGGATGGAAGAGAACAATCAACCGCCTTTCTCAGCTACAGCATTGAACGCGGATTTAAAAGGAAAGGATACTCCCAATATGTCTAGCGAACTGCAATGTGCGAACTGCGGTAAGGGACACCACATAGCAAAGTGTTTTTCATTTACAAAAAACTCAATCGATGACAGATTAAATATCGTTAAAGACGCAGGACTTTGTTTTAATTGCCTGTTGCCTACGTCGCCGAGTCACTATAGTGTGAATTGTAGACGTCCTGGATGTTCGATGGAAGGATGCAAAAGGAAGCATCACAGTTTACTCCACCGCAGTTCTTCGATCAACAAAGATTCCCAAAATAAAGATTCTCAAAACAAAGATTCAAAAGATGACGAAATTACTGTCCGTACAGGAATTGCTAGTGGTTATGTGTCGACTTTGATAGATAATCAAGTGACGTTACTACCTACCACGATGGTCAATCTAGTTTGTCGAGACGTCACATTACCTGTGCGTGTTTTGGTCGACAGCGGAAGTGATCAGTCATATATTCGGGGAGAAATTGTTGACGCGTTGGGATTGGGCACGAGTGATTCTACAAAGACAATGACCATACTGATGCACGGTGGCCAGTCAAGAACAACTAGAGTGAAGAAGGCCAATTTCCAATTGTCAACACGTAACCAAAGAAAAAACATTAGTCTTCATGCATGGGCAGTTCCCACAGTTTGCTCACCACCAGAACCCGCAGCCGTTGATTTGAAACGATACCCTCACCTAAAAGGCTTGGCGTTGGCAGATACAGATCCACGAAGCGGGGCGACGATCGATATCCTACTTGGCGCCGACCAGTGGTCCCAAATTATGAAAGGTGGTATCAAGAGAGGAGATTCTCAGAGTCCAATGGCCATGAATTCGGTTTTTGGTTGGCTCCTCTCAGGTCCTACTGGTGTCGAGCGGTCTAAATCTTGTAATGCATCGACCCACCATGCCACAACCAAGATCCTTGAAGATTATCCCAATTTTGTTTTAAAGAAATTCTGGAACCTGGAAGCAATCGGCGTGACCGAAGCTCCTAAAATTCAAAGTGCCGAGGAAAAATACGTCGCTCAACGATTCGAGGACAATGTGAAGTTTGATGGGCAAAGGTACGAAGTGTCGCTGCCCTGGAAGGAAGATTGTCCCAAGTTATTGAGCAACCGAGGACTTGCTCTGAAGCGACTCGCAAATGTTGAAGCGAAACTAAAGAAACAGCCCGAACATGCACGGATGTATAAAGATTCTATTAATCAATATATAAACGATGGTCATGCCAGACTAATAACAGCAGAAGATGACAAAGCTTATAGAATTCATTATCTCCCACATCATCCCGTATTCAGAGAGGAAAAATCTACAACGAAATGTAGAGCCGTATTTGATGCGTCTGCGAAAGGGCTAGAAGGAGTATCCTTAAACGATTGCCTTCTCCCTGGTCCAGCACTGCAACCTGATTTGGTGTCGTTGTTGATCCGCTTCAGATGTCATCGTATTGGAATGATGGCGGACGTTCGTAAGATGTTTTTACAAATCAAAATAGCTTCCGAAGATCAGAACGCACATTGTTTCCTTTGGAGAGATATGGATCCCAATTCAGAAATAAAAACATATTGTATGACGAGACTCCCGTTTGGCGACGTGAGCAGCCCGTATGAAGCGATAGCAACAATGCACCATCATGCTGACCAATGTAAAGTGGTATACCCTGAAGCAGCTCGAGTTATCAAAGAAGATACGTACGTGGATGATTGTTTAACCGGATGCGAAACTGAAACAATGGGCCGTAAACTTTATAGCGATTTGGTGGAGATAATGAAGATTGGAGGTTTTGATCTGTTAAAATGGGCAACGAATTCTAAGTCGTTGTTGTCCTATATTCCCGCTGATCAAAGAGCGAGTAGTTGGTTGGTGTGCCTTGATAACGAGTCTGACCCTTTGAAAGCTCTCGGACTATCCTGGGACACCGTTGATGACGTGTTCTTATTTCACCAAGGAGATAAATTATTACAAACACCTGATCCTGAGACGAAACGAAGTGTCATTGGTATATCCTCCAAACTCTTCGACCCACTGGGATTTCTCAGTCCTTTCACAATTCGAGCCAAAATCCTTTATCAGAAGCTATGGATTCGTGGTGCGTCGTGGGATGATTCACTTGATGAAGAAATCAAAAATGAATGGCAAAAGTGGAAAGAAGAACTTGAACATTTAAATCTCATTCGCATCAGTCGTTCCTTTCTGATAGACCTTGGCCTTGAGATAGTCAGTGTCCAGCTTCATGGCTTTAGCGACGCAAGCCCGAGTGCCTACGGAGCTGTTATCTATCTTCGTCTTCAAGATTCTACCGGGAATGTGCAAGTACAACTCCTATTCGCGAAGACGAGAGTTGCGCCTACGAAAAGAATTACATTACCAAGATTGGAATTGATGGCGGCGTATTTGTTGTCAAAGATGATCACGTTCCTTCTTAAGGTCTTAGGAAAAAGGATCAATCAGTATATCTGTTGGTCAGACAGCACAATAACATTGAGCTGGATCCGTAGACCCAGCTATACCTGGAAGGTATTCGTGGCAAACCGGGTTCAAGCGATCCAACAGAACACTGATCCAGAGTGTTGGCGATTTTGTCCCGGAGACACAAATCCTGCTGATTTTGTAACGCGTGGAGAGACATTAGAAAATTTGGCAAACTATTCCCCTTGGTGGAATGGGCCACAGTGGCTTTATAGGCCCCCGGGTGAATGGCCCATTAATATAGTTGACAATGAATTGCCGGAATGTCAAGAAAGTAATCCGAAAGTGGTTTGTAACACAGCGGTATCCACCTTTCCGTCGCCATGCATTGATGTAGAAAGATCCGGACGTTGGATTAAGCTAGTCCGGATAACAGTATTCGTATTTAGAGCCGTAGCTTTGTTCAAAGGATTATTGAAACGGGGCGAGTTGACGAAAACCATTAATCAAACCCCAGAAATCACCGCTGAAGAAATCAAAGAAGCTCAAACGTATTGGTACCAAGAGATACAGAAGGCGAGTTTTGTTGAAGAATGGCGCCAATTACAGAAGAAAGATGGACTACCTTCAAAGAGTCCCATTCGCAAGCTGAACCCTTATTTTGACGAAAACGATAAGCTAATACGAGTCGGAGGTCGCCTACAGTTTTCTGAGTTACCAGAAGAGACGAAGCATCAAATCATCTTACACGCAAAACACCCAGTCGTGGACAAGATAATTATTCATTCTCACAAAACCCAAGCCTTACATGCAGGTCCAGAAACAACTTTGGCTATTCTCCGAGAAACGTTTTGGATTCTTCGCGGTCGTCGTGCAGTTAAACGAGCAATCAATACCTGTCGCATCTGCCGAAAATTCCGAATTGGACCTGTCCAGCAGCAGATGGCACCCTTACCTGCTGAGTGAGTTACCTATTCTCCAGCTTTCACACACGTGGGGATTGATTTCACAGGACACTTGATTCTGAAGTCACAAAAGAAATCAGATAAAAGTCTTCAAAAGGCGTACGTTTGTATATTTTCCTGCGCTACCACCCGGATGGTGCACTTGGAATTAACGAACGACATGACAACAGAAGAATTTCTTCAAGCCTTACGTCGGATGTATAACCGTCGAGGACTATGCAATACGTTGTGGTCAGATAACCAAACTACGTTTAAGAAAGCTGAAAAAGATATCCAGTGGTTGTTCGAAGCTTCAAGTCAGAAAATGAATAAAGTATGGAAGAAATTAGACCCTTCTCAACTACAAAGAGAGGCATTAGGACGGAGCTTGAAAGCTATCCCAGATGTAACAATTGGGTCAAGTCCCATACCACCAGTATCGTCAAGATTTTTGTATCGACAAAGTTTAATTAACCGTTTCTGGCGGAGGTGGCTGACGGAATATTTACCACAACTGACGATTCGCCAAAAGTGGTTGGAAGAGAAACCACCGTTAAAGGTTGGAGATGTTGTGTTGATGTCAGAGGACAATGTCAAACGAGGAAATTGGCCATTAGCTATTGTTCAAGAGGTACACATGGGAAAAGATGGCCTCATTCGTACAGCCACACTACAGACTAAGTCAGGGCAAAGGCGACGATCGGTACAGAAGTTATATTTATTGGAAGAAGCTCGCAGCGTAGAGGAAGACTTGAGAAATATGGAGAAAGTAGAGCAGAGTCAAAGTTTAGAGATTGCCCCGGAGATATGCGATCAGAAAATTCAAAAGCAAGCTGTCCAAAGAAAAAAAATTAGGCAATGTACCGAATTTAGACACTAAGTGTCAAGGCGGGCAGAATGTAAAGTATTCCCGCTTTGGGCGTGTGATAAAGGCCCCAAGTAGATTGGGGTCGTGATAAACAATATTTTAATTAGCATTAGTATTAGTATTGACAATTAGTGTGTTTAATGACTGTGACATTTTTAACTATATGCAAAAATTAACTAAAAAATATGATTATGTGTGGATAGATAGAGAAGGACAATTACATGTAAAAAATAAAAGATATATTTTCACAGGCTAGAAGCGAGAATTTAAGTACTTTTACAATTCCTATCATTTTTTCAAGTCAAGTATTGTATTGTCACTGACGATATAAACTGAGACAGTCGTATACAATATGTAAGTGCAAGGAAAAAGCTATTGAACCCTAACACAATACTAATTGAAGAGTATCATGGAAAAGTTTTGTGTGTACAGCTAGTGGTGGATCGAGGGTAACAAATTTTCCCTACTTGAAAACAAAATCCATATCTTTGCACTGATGTGTAATATGCTCTATATATTTATGAATCTATTTTTCTGTCTTTATTCAAAAGTAACCAACTGTCTAGCATGTGATCAACCAATTCGGCTATCCATTCTTTGCTTTTTTACATATAGAATGGGTCTTAATGATCAATCATGTGGAACTTTCATTAAACCATCAAAGAAGCTGCCCTACTGGTAGCTCGAGAAATATGATTTCTGTTGATCAGCATGGTAAGATTGTCAGTGCAATATCAGTACCTTCTGTGTATATAAATATTGTATAAAGAAATTGTATACTGTACTCTACATTCAAGTATAATATCATATAATATGCACTATTCCATGTTTGGTCCAATCTTTTCTTGTTGGCCATTCACAGGAGGAGCTTTTAAAATATTCACATTGATATGGCATCTGTACTTGTGGCGCAGCTTAAACTCATCCCCGAGCCGGCGCGAAGCGCCGTGCGAGGGTACTAATTCCGCTGGGAGATTTATTACACCCAGGTATTGTGACAGAACATAGCGGAATCCAAAGTTGCTCAAATTCTATGTCGTGGACCGTGGACCATGGACGTTCAATGGTCATGGTACTTGCGCGCATGCGTGAAATGCGAACGAGTGTAGACTGGTAATCAACGAACATTCTGATTGGCTAAGACAGAGAGTTTGTAATTCAATGAGAACGTCAGCAATTTAACTGTCATTTCGTAAACATTTTTGTAAAAGCGTTTCATAAACTTTGTGCAAAGAAAGTAAAACGAGAAGAAACAAGATATATGAAGCATGACAGATAGCAAAGATGAACGTGGATACGGTCAAAACAAAGCCGTGTAAGAGGAAAAATTCATAATCTGCAAGCTTATAAATGTTTTCAAAGACAAAGGGTACGTGTTTACTTTGTTTACTTTGTTTATCCCGTACTTGTTTCGCGGTAAGAATGAGCCATATTTGTATACTTTTCAGCTTTGTATGCCGTTCATTTGTTAAATTTTCAGCTTTTTCTGCAAACGCATAAACCTGTGAAGGGCTATTACACCTTTGCCTTAACTTCAAAAAGTGTTTTTGAAAGTGTAATTTGAATTTTGGTATAAAAAATACACACTATATTTATAAAGTATACTGAAACTTTTAGCCGCCGGCGTTGACTGCAATTACAGAATAAAATAACATTTGAAGTTTTTTCTTTGTCTGTGAAGATTTTGTACTGTTTTAATCGTTTGAAACTTCGATTTTAAACCGTTACTTAATTGCTGGCGTGGTATAATGCAGCAAAATTGAACGGGCAATGTTTACACTAGCTTTGTGATTATTTTTGTATTGAATGATGGAAACTTTAAGACTGATTTGAGTTTTGTGTCATTTCATAATATAAGTTTAGGTCAGGTTAACTCAGGAAATTGTGTACTTGGTTTGAAATAGCGAGGGGTTGCTGCATGCATGTATTTCTAGTTATTATGAATTTGTTGCACTGTTTGATCCAATGGATATTAATTGATATTTGCTGGAAACCTTTGGTGTATGGTACAAAACATAAATGGTATCCAGTCTGTTTTAGTAGTGATGATTATATTGTGTTACAAAAACTTGTTTAATAATTTATTCGAACTAGGTACTATTGCCATACCTTAAAATCAATGAGGTCACATCAGGAGAATACAGATTACAAGATTTGTCCATTGTGTCCAACAGTATGTTTTGTACATAATACAGCTGTTCTTATCTGCTATATGAGTACCATGTGCATAATCAAATGTGATTTTCTGTTATAAAGGTAGACATAACAATATTACCTGTTTGAAAATATTATTTTACTGAAGGCTGTAGAAAATGATATTCTGATTGAGTCAATGGATGGTTGTCTTGGTCTGATCAGGAAAAAATCAGAAGGTGCAAAACTTTTCCCAACAAGGCATACAGGGACATTCTTTGATGAACAAGATAATGTGGACAAGTTTGTTGAAGAGTATGCAAACAATGCTGAGGTAGCACCAACAGTAAGTAGTCACACAAGAAATGATTTAAATATGTACTTACTTTTAAAAAATACTTCTTTTTGTATGTACATACTTTTAAATATGTACTTTTGTTCTTTTGCATTTCACACTTTCTTCATTTGAACCAGGAATATATTAAATTAATTAACTCACTAATTGCCACTATTCTCAAATTTTGCAAGATGGTTGCTTCTTCCGTCCTACTGTATTCTCTTCCTGGCTACTGTATCTTGTTCATTTTTAGTGATTTTCCTTTATAATTGGTAATGATGTTATAAGACTAAATATTTTTAAAATCAAGGATTGCAATGAGTTTAAATCTGGAGAAATTAGCGATATGTTAAGATCAAAGGGCAAAAACAAACTGTTTGATGAGAAAGGTGTCTTTGGTTGTGTTTGCAGACATGAATACCCAAAAGGATTCATTAGTATTAAACATGGTGAAGGATTTTTAGATTTTAATTATTAAACTATTATTATTTAAATCGTCAGCTGATTCATCTTTTTTGGTACATAATTTGGACCCCCTCCACATTCTTTTTCCTTTAGGATCTCATATTCTGTTTATGAAGTAGAACATCTCTTACGCAATTGTAGTAACAGCCATGATGTTCACATAATGTATGATATTGGCTGCACACTGGCATCACACTTAAAGGTTAAAATACATTATGATAGTAATATCATAGTGGCACCATTATTATTATTGTATTATTATTTGCTCAGAAAATGAGAGAATAATAATACCCTATAAATCCCTAGACGTTCTGTTTTATTCTTTCTACAGAAAAACAATCGTGATGATATTCTTGAAAGGGTTGATCTTGCTATTCCAGTATTCCATTGTTATGGCCATAAATCAGCTTGTCAGGTACAGTGTACAGTATGGGAATGTTAAATTTAATATTTTCTTGTTGCATTTTTACATGACATCAGTTAATACTACGCTTGTTCCACACTAATTACCTATATCATCACTGTAGATTAACTATGGCCCACAGCGTAAAGATGGTTATGGTCTCACTGATGGAGAAGCTATTAAAAGGTTATGGTCCTACTTGCGAGGATTTTCATCCATTACAAAAGAGATGACTGCCAGTAGGCGAGTGGATTTGCTATCAGATGCACTAGTACATTATGCGAAACACTGTGTGGAAGAATTTGGTAAATAAATTTATATTATGTTAAAAATATTTTGTTGTTTCTATTGTAATTCATCTGACATTTTTCATGTACTGTATGTTTCAGTATTAAGTCTATGTTACAGTTTTATACACTCAGTGGAATTTGGTAATTGTTGAGACACAATATACATATTTTATTTAATAGGACCATCATTGCCAAAAAAACTAGAGAAAACCAATAATCGTATGGTAAATGCCATGTCACAGTTGGAAGAAATGTTTTCAAAATTGACAGGTTTCCATGATTCTTATTTATTACAGCTTTTTGTTACCCCTGTAAATGTTTCTAAAATGTACTGTAATGGAAAATATTTACAGGTTACTTTATAGCTTATTGATTCACACAGCAGTATTTATGTGTGGTTTAGTGGGTTATGACGCTGATCTTGTGGATTCATGGAAGAAGCAGGAAGAATTATCATTAAAGAAGCGACAGAGTAAGCAAAAACCTATAGTGTTCATATACTTTAACAATACAATAACTGACTGACCAATCCTTTATTTGCAACCTACTGTACATTATATTTTAGATACAAAATTATCTTTGTTGTGGCAAGCCAAATATGTTCAGGATTTATGTCTGCTGCAAGAGCTAAGGTACATATTATCATAAGAATTACTCCTGTATTTACTCTAACACAGACAATTTTATTTGTCATCGGAGATAAAAGGATCTTTTGAAATTGTTTAGGTCAACTGTTGGTTCTTTTGATGAAGACAATCACAAAGCTATTGCTTGTATCGTCAAGAAAATCACGAAGTAATGTTTCTTTTTTGTAAAGAATGATTGAACTTCTGTTTTTGTATGATACAGTATGCTTAAACTTTAAACGTGAAGTGAATACATAATATACATGTCTCATTGCTTTATATAAATGTTGTAATTAATAATTACGATATTTTATATATATTAATAAATACAAAACTAGATTGAAGAAATAAGATATGTTTCCCATTTTAAATCATTTAAATTGATGCAGGTGTTGTAGGTACTAAGATGCAATGCATGTACTTGCTTTGTGTTTAAAGGTGGTATTTTAGTGATTCATATTAGCTCAACATACAGGGGCGATTATTACATACGGGGGAAGTTTTTTTATCGTACAAGCTAAATTGAAATGATGGTGTTTACTTCACTAAAGTAACCCTAGAGGGTGATACTGTACCTGTATAATTATTTCATAATAGTACCGGGTGTCCCAAAAAAAAGTACCTATTTTTAATTTAACATAACTTGTAAGCGAATTGAAGAATTGCAATCAAATAATCCATATTAAGTTGAGTAATGTCTAACTTAAAGTTTGATATATTGCATATGAAGTTTGAGCAAGTAGTTTCCGAGATATTCGCGTTTAAAGACACGGTAACGTTATGAAATGTGTCAAAAATCAGCAAAAATTGGCTTGTTAAATTTGTTTCTACAATACCAGTTCGTAACACGGTTTCTTGCAACTTATTTTTTAGTTTTTTCAGAAAATTTGTTAAGTCCTTAATACGACTTTCTGAATTTGTAAGGTTTAACATGTAAATTTTCAGTTATTGTTCATTTTTGCATCATTATGTTATCTCCCTTGGGACATGATGGAATTTCCACTTACGAACGCAAGCAAGAAGTGTAGTTTTCTAAAGTCATCGCGACAAACGTGATATCGCAATAAAACATGCCTCGCTTGACAAAAGATTAAAGAGTTTGGGTTTGCCTAGAGTATGCAAGAACGAATAACGCGTATGAAGTGTGAGGAAATACGCAACACGTGGTGAAGGGCACCCACACGACCATTACGTCGGTCATATGCAAGGCGCACAACAAGTGATGGTCTGGGTTGGGCTGACCAGACAGGGCGTTGTTCTTGGTCCGCATTTTATGCGTGCAAACCTTGATACGAGAGAGTACATGCGTATAATTCGCTACAACGTGATTCAGAGAGAATTTCCAGTGCACAACATTGACAGAAACTCAATGTGGTGGCAACAGGACGGCGCCTCCTGTCACACAAGCAACGCAACAATCCGATATCTACAGGGGCAATTTCCTGGTCGACTCATGAGTCAACACGGCGATTGGCCATGGCCTCCACGCTCCCCTGACCTGACGGTGTGTGATTTCTTCCTCTGGGGCTATTTAAAGCAGCAGATTTGGGAAGTTCCTCATGCCCAACAACCTCAAAACTTGGGAGAACTTCGCAAGGCGATTGTTAGGTCATGTCGCAATTTGGACACCCACATGATTCAAAGGTCTTTTGATGGCATGCTGACACGGGCAAGAAAGTGTGTTGCTGCTGGTGGACATGAATTTGCAGATGAATAAGAAAACAACTATAAAATAAGTTACAAGAAACCATGTTACGAACCGGTATTGTTGAAACAAGTTTAATAGGCAATTTTTTCCTGATTTTTGACAAGTTTCAAAACGTTGCTGCGACTTTAAACGCGAATATCTCAGAGACTACTCGTTCAAACTTCACATGTAATATATCAAACTTTAAGTTAGACATTACTCAACTTAATATGGATTATTTGATTGCAATTCTTCGGTTCGCTTACAAGTTATGTTGAATTAAAAATAGGTACTTTTTTTTGGGACACCCGGTATTACCAAAGCTCGTATAAAACAAAAGGTGGAGATATGAACTTATGTCATTGCATTACTTTTTTTCATTAGCGTATTAAAAGTTGTGGCCATGACAGAAAAATGCTTCAAGGTGAAACGACAGTGGAAGCTGGGAGGAGATACAAATTTTAACAATGGTGCAGTTTCCATCGAAGAAGATAGAAGACACATGACTGAGAAACTATATTTTTTAGCAGTGGAGAGAATGTTCTTGATTTGACTTAAAAGGAAGTATGCAGGTACTCAAATACTCCTTTGATACCATTTTCTATTCTACAGCAATTGCCACCATGCGTGAATGCCAAGTTAATGCCGATTTTCCATTTCAATTTTTTATATAGATGGTCAGAAAATTGTGGCAAAGCTATGTAAACAGATTAATAAAACTAGGGATCCAAGGATAGTGCAAAGTTTTCATGCCCTGTAATACCTAAGCAACCAGACGTTTGTCCCAACATAAAAATTTTGACTTATGCCAGTAAAAATATTATGAACTAGGTTAAACATTAATCAAAAGGAAATTACTCAAAGTACTCAAGTTACGTTAGCCGCGGATACTGTCACTAATAAATTATAATTTTAGTTGCCCATGTAAACCTAACCTCTCAGCTCTATTTATGGAATAAACCTTTTAAATTATATTTGTGTTGAATTGAATGCTCGTAATTCATAACATAAGTTGATAAATTGCGTAGATTCTCACAGAATTGCTCGATTTTTACGCCTGGAATGTTTTGAAGCAATGCTCGTCGCTCCTCGTTTCTTTACATCATGAATAATGTTCAAGACTTCAAGTCTCGACGGCACATGCGCAGTTGCGACATGTAAGAAAGAATCGGGTGTTCCGGGGGTAATTCTGCGCAAATCCCTTTAAAACAAAACCCAAACCGCGGAAAAGCAATGCTTCAAAATTTACAGTAACCGCCAAAATTCCTCAATATTTTGGTGAACTTTGCAAACGGGGTATAGTGCATTAATAAATAAAGCAATTTAAACTGATTTAAAAACTTTAAATTACTGATCATACTCAAAAAGGTACTATACACATAAATCAACCTACCCCCCGTAAAGTTTACACTATGACTGACTGACTGACTGACTGACTGACTGACTGACTGACTGACTGACTGACTGACTGACTGACTCGTTTGAATTTTCCCCACTCATCACAATACTGCAAAGTTTCTCAAACTTTGCACTAAAAACCAATGCCATGAAAACAACTGTATCCAAATACAATGCTGCATTGTCTTTCTGGGAAGATTCAGTCGATGGAATGCCAGAACTGATGACCTTTGATGCTGTAAAAGATCCAGAGTCCCCAGTTATCATTCCGTAAGAGTGACATCGCCATCTGTAAATGAGATCCCGCTTGACTTTAGATCCCGCTTGACTTTAGTGCTATAGATTTGCACAATTTCATCCAGCGCTGTAAAGAAGAGATCCAATACTTCAAAGAGGAAATGGTAGGGTTAGTATGATATTTCCAGAACTTGAAAGCGACTTACCAGTCATGTTTGGACAACCGAGAAGAGACAGTTGCAGTGTATGCTAAAGGACTTCACAGCATTGGTCGTTCAAGGGTACTTGAATGTAATAATAAACTATATTCCTTGGGTTCATTATTCAAGGAAAGCATACCAGATGAAGTTGATTGTCTTATACCAACTACGCCATGGAAACATGAATGTACATTTGAACAGGGGATGGATATCGAAGAAATAACAAACATCTCGGAATATTATACCATTGACGATAGTGATGAAGACGACAATGTTTCTCTAGTTGACTATAATTCCGATTTTGAACCAATTTGTGACGATTGAGCTTTGTAATAAAACTCCAGTAAACTTTACCATTCATAAAAACTTTGGTGTAAAAATTACGTCTATTATACAGTATGCATGTCTATGAGTTATACAGTATATGAGTTACATCACAATTGACGTAATGCGTGAAACATTTTATTTCTGTGCAGAATCAAAGTTGTTTATTATATTTGCAGTATAATATATGGTATTGTGGAATGTTAAAGGAACCCAACTACCATGCACATTATTAAAATTCAATATCTTGGGGTGCATTTTCACGATATATTTAAAGCAAAACGACAGTCGTGCCACACATTTCTAAGATTTACCCCTGATTTTCTAATATTTACGTTGAACAGGTCATTTAGTTAAAAATGGGGTGTATTTTCACGATATATTACACAAAAACAACATTTGTACCATATATTTCCGAAATTTACCCCTCATTTTCTAATATTTACGTTAAACAGGTAATTTACTTAAAAATGGGGTGTATTTTCATGATAAATAACACAAAAACAACATTTGTATTAAATATTTCTAAAATTTACCCCTGATTTTCTAACATTTATGTTAAAAATGATAACGATAAATGATATATTACACAAAAACAACAAAAGAAAAAAAAAAGAAAAGCAAAATCAAGCA